TTTTATGATTATAAAACCTTGTTAGACACTTGTAAAGGGTATTTCAAGTGATTTCAAAAAGTTGGAAAAGTCGCCGGAGTTGACCAAAAGTCGCCGGAGTTTCACCGGAGTTCAACCAAGAAGGGTAGAACTTCATAACGCTAGTTCAAGGTGAGTGGACGGCTTAATATCTTATAACTTTTGGGTTAATTATGAGATTACCTAAATAAATGTTATATGAGTTCATAATGATGTTTAAAAGATATTTAAACATGTGATTAGCCAATAGGGTTAAGTTTGTATGAAAGAAATTAATTGTTGATGCATGGAATATGATATGAAGAATTATATGAAATGCATATTTGTTTGAAGTGTATTAGAAGCACAAATGAATATTATTAACTTAATTATATGATGATTAAGTTGATACACACAAGGCATGAAATGGCGGTCAACGAAAACGTCGACCGATGGACAAAGGATTTAATTAATACCGGTTGGTATTAATTAATTATAAATCTATATAAATGCATGGTTTCGCATGGGTTGTGATACATAAGCTTTATGTATTGAATTAGTTATGAGTAACTAAGTATGATATAGACTCTATCTAGGTTGATAGAAGGTTGATCATAGGAAAATATTTTGGTGGAGGACCCTAGTACTTAAAAGTACTTAACACTCAAAATTTGGTAGAGGACCCTAGGACTTAAAGTCCTTAACACTCGGATTATAAATTGGTGGAGGACCCTAGTACTTAAAAGTACTTAACACTCAAAATTTGGTGGAGGACCCTAGTACTTAAAAGTATTTAACACTCAAAACTTGGTGGAGGACCCTAGGACTTATGAGTCCTTAACACTCGGAAAACAAAATTGGTGGAGTACCCAAGGATTATGATCCTCAAAACTCATAGATTATGATATTGAGATAGGGACAAGGAGGAGTCCTATACACTCATAGGTATATGGGCGGGTTGGGGTTTTTAGTCAAGAATATAGACTATTACTATTTTTCCCAAATAAAACGGTGATCTACGGATCAGATATTTTCCAAGTATATACATACTAATAAGTATTTCAAAACTTGGGGGAAAGACTATTTATATAAGTATCACCCTATGTTTGGGTCTTATACTTGAAACGCTGGTTATTCTATATTTAGCCTGCTACTCGCTCGGTACTTGTACTGACCCCTTCGGGGGGGCCCACCATTTTCAGGTTGAAGCTAGGGCTTGCTACTTGCACCTTCTTACGGGTGATATCAACTTCAGGGAGACGTGGTTCGTGCTTCCTTATTTTCTTTCAAACTACTGAACATATGCTCATGGATATTTGTTCTACTATAAACTATTTTTGGGGCTTGCATGCCCATGTTGTTGGCCGGTTGTGGCTTATGACTTACCGTTGAATATTTCCGCTATTCATGGGTTTAAATGTGATGTTGTTATGTATGTTTACTACTGAGTATGGATGGATTATATTCTCGAACGCCTTGTGTAATTAAGTGAGGTTGACTCGCGGGTGACGTCGCTTGATTATACGGAGGTTGTACACGCGCTTGGATTGCGGTCTGGGGCGTGACATTAAAAGTGTAAATACACTTTAGTTCCATGTAGCAAGGTCTAAAAAGTGTAGAAAGTGTTCACTACAAAAGACCACTGCAACCAAGTTTCAAAAAGTGTAGAATATATAAGAGCATTGCCACCAACTTCCAAAAAACTAGTAAATTACTAGTATATCATAGCACTACTGCAAAGTGAACATGAACCAATGTGGCAAAAATATATTAATTACCTTGCCAGCGGATTCACGATGTTCTTCTAAGTCAGAATACTAAAATATCCTTTAATCTTCCTTGTATAGCTACGACTTGAAATTTGTACTATGTTGGCCTACAGACTTCTTCGCTCCAGTTTGAAAGTTTGGGGGAAGGAATGCGAATAATAATAGGCCTTGGTTGGTCGTTTGTTTTTCTGAAAACTAACGGACTAACCCGTCAGTTACTAGGGTGTCCACAAATTACCTAAAAGTTGAATTATGGGTTTACTTGATCTATTCAAAAAGTTGGTGTCCACTTTGAGCTTTGTAAATAACCTTAGTGTCCATTTTGTAAATAACCTTGGTCTTTGTAAAAATGATGAACCGCTGAAAAATGAACGACAACACAATCCTGACGTAGTGTCTAGTCATTTAAAGTTCTGGCTGTATTGCCTGAAGTTACTGTAGATGATCATTTTAGCTATTTTTTCATATAATTTTTTATTTTATTTATTAATAACAAATATTTTAAATACAATTTTCTCATAAATCAGCAGAATCAGCCAATACAACCACTTCAGCCAGAACTTCATAAATTTCAGCAGAATCAGCCAATACAGCCAATTTTAGTGTTACCAAACGGGCTCTAAATAAGATGATTACATGTACATAGTATCTAGTGTTTTACTCGGGCGTTGCCCCCGGTGGATGTTGGAAATGTTTGAATATTTTGTAAAATATTTATTTTATACCATATACAGATAATTTATAATTTGACTTTATAATTTGTCCTAAATAGGACTAAAGTTTCCCTAAGAAACACAAATAGAACAACTACTTTTTAAATTCTCTCCAGTGGAGAACCAAAGTATGAGATTGTATTTGTAATACTTTAGAAGATATGTGTAACTTTTAAATTGTTAAGATTACTCTAACCGTATTTATGTTATCCAACTGTAATTTAAAGCAATATACTATTACCAAATGTCACACGATTTCTTTATGGTGTTCAAACAAGAGCTAAATAATTAGTTCATGGACAGTCCGATTTCCGTTATAAAACAGTAAAACTGGATCTTTTTATTTGGAGATCTAGTTGGTTTTCTTCTCATTGCAATCTGATTGAAAATATGTTCAAACCTGTTATTGTTCTTCTAAAACAGAATAAATGGGCTTGATAGTTCTCAAAAGGATTAAAGAACAAATATACTCTTTTACGATATATCATGGAGCATGCCCTCTTATTTTTTAGTTAAAAAATGTCACGGCTAACTATTTTGTTTTACAAGTGCCCTTCCATTAAATCCGAATTCCATAAGATTTCTTTAATTGAAAGCAAAATCTGAGAATGGATAGATGGGTGAAGCCATAGATATGAACATAGAAGGTTGTTGCTGAGAATCAATGCAAGCAATTTATTTAATTGAAAGACACTTGATGGTAAATCATTAAACTTAAAAGTTATGCAAGGTTCCCTTGAGTGAGATGGCAAAAAATATTGGAAGCCAAACACTTGAATAAATAGTCAATGAAGAAAAAAGGACAAAGATGTGATAGTAGGAAAAATGAGGCAATGCAAATTCGTTATAGGATTATGCTTTATGAGAGGCGGAGGTGGTGGTCATCCTTGGATTGAAATTTTGTGTTGCTCTTATTCAAGTGTATGAGTTGCAAATCAGGAAATTGAAAAAAACAAGAGCCTGCGACTTGGTTATACTCTAAAATAATAAGAAAAGAAATTATGACGAAAGCATTCCCACTGTGATTCTGGAAATTTGGTAAAATAGTCAAGTAATTACTTGGGTGACTCTACGGTGTAAAATAGGCCACACAAGGTTCAATTAATACGGAGTATTCAGAAAAGCTTTAACAACGGCTTTCAAGATACCCAAGCCATACAGCTGCTCAGTAACGTTTCTGTAGCATAATTTACATTAGAATCAAATTTATAAGAGCTGACAAACGGCCTATTGTATGGGCTCTTTAATTTAGATGGTGTCATAAAAGTTACTGAAGTACTGATCAAATGTTCATCAAGCTTCTCTGAACTGTAAGTGCAGTTGATCAGCTATCCCACGTAAAGATCCAAACCATATAGGTTCAAGTACTATCTTCATGGCTGCACGTAAAAACGTTGGCAATTTCTGCAAAGTATATGCTCAATACATTAACCACAATAATTGGAAATTTATTTAAATGCTTATCCATATAATGAAGTTGAGAACATCTTCTAGATGTATTATTTCTCTATTCAAAAATAGGTTTAAGTTTCAGATGCTCTCTTCCTCTTTGAGATTAAGGCTCTTGACATGTTTCAAGGTATATTTCAAGTCATTGTCAATGTAAAAACTAAGATTAAAATTTAAAAGAATGGGAAAATTTCCAAAATAGGAGTAAAAACGTACTTATTTCCTGAATTAAAAACTACGTACTACCGTGTTTTGGCATTAACAAGCATTACTTTAAGAATTTTCCAAAGAGAGAGTTGGGAATTGCTACCGTCATTTGATTCACAGCCTGCCCGAGGTAGGCGGTATCCATCACCATAAAACGGCACCAGGCTCAACAAACTTGTGGAACCCGTCGCTTTTAGGATGTTTGACCCAACCTGGAAGAGCTCCACAATTTTCACAGTCACCCCCAGAATCACAGGGCCCTAAAATGCACCAGAAAAGGAGGGTGAGAGTGATTTGGCCGCCAGTCTTCTCTTGTTTCCCCTCTAATTCCGCAAAAAAGAGCGTATCATCATCAGCACTTCCATTTTCAGGCCTAGCAATAAAGTTGCAATGATAGAGGAACGTGTGACGAAATAGAGATGGGCAGCGGATACACTGCAGTGGCTCAACAAGCTTGTATTTGGGACCCTGCATAGTGAAATCACAAGGGGAATGGGGTCTTAGACACACACCAAATGCATTTCAGGACCGCCCGAACACTGATCAAATTAACTAACCTGTTCCTCCTCATTGATGCGTGATAGCGCAGACAATGCACACTGATGTGTCTTACAACCAGCCCATCCATTACCGATATATACTACTGAGCGAGGAGGGCCTAGACTTCCGGTGGCGCTTCCCTTTCCCCTTCCTCTGCCCCACCTCCAGTAGTCAAAATCATTTATTATAAAGATCAAATTTCAGCAAAGGCAACGCGATACAGAGGGATTGAAATTGCAAATCAAACAAGTAAACAATGGGTTGCAGGAGAAATCGAGCAACCACAACTCAATAACGGATCAATAAAAAGATCTAGAAATTGAACTTACCCACGTTTGATCACAGATTCCTTGAAAATCTTCGTGCCCGTCCTCATCCGCAGAGCCTTCGACCTCACATCTTCACCCCCGTCCTTGGGTTTCGCCTTCCCCGTACTCCTTGTATTCATCGATTCCGAAACTGTCTATCCCGATGCCGATGGACTCGTATATACAATGCAAGAGGGCGAATTATATATTATTATTATTATAGGGTTAGACGGGGTTACTACTTCCTTGAGAAATATCGGATCGTTAATGGACGAAATTAACCACTCAACCCACCTCTCCTACGGATACTACTGTTTTTAGGACATGTTTTTCAGTCCGAGATCATACCCGCCAGATTTGAACAGTAAAGTCTTTTAACTACCCTCTAACTTTGTTCCGTTTTACATTTTTCGTCCGTACCATTAAGGGTCCGTTTTGTAGTTTACTCATTAAAACTTTACATGCAAAATGATTGCATGTAAAGTTTAGGGCAGTAAAATAATTTACATGTAAAATAGAACACGTCATTTGGTTATGTGTGTAATCTATTTTTAAATTACACACAAACTCTTTACATTGTTTGTTTAACCGGCTTCATATACTACAATACATACGTATAATATACATAAAATATACATATAATGTGTATATATATACAATATATATATACAAAAACAAAAAAAAATACACCAACGTTTCTTAAAAACTAAGCAACTCCCGCAGTATAACTTTTAGATTCAATTAAACATCAAATCTCAGAAATAATTGGAAGTATAGAACCTGTTGGTTAACGTGGATATATGGAGAGCAGATTCAAAGCGTAGAACCTCTTGTTTTCTCAAGTACTCGTACTACGTAGGAGGACAAAACCTACCGACAATATTTTTGCTTTGCTGCTACGTTACGATGGAGTCTTCAGAGCGGCTAGGGTTTAAAGTAGTTTACTACCCTCTCCCCATGTAAAATATTTTACATGGTACGGTGTAAAGTGTGGTTAAAAAAGTGCCCTACAGTTTACATTAAATAGTTAAAACAAATAGTGTAAAATGTTTACTTCCCCACACTTTACACGCAAAGTGTTTACTTTACATCGTAACAAACGGGTCCTAAGTTTGTCCTATACCGTAATTCGTAATATTTGAGTGGTTAGAATTCATTCTTACTTAATTCACACTTTATCAATTCAATACCAACCACTCAATTCTACTTTTTCTTAATAACCACATCACACCCCTTTGTCCCAAACATAAGGGGACGGAGGTAGTATTACGGAGTATATATATTAAAAATAAAGCTAAAGTATTCATATTTCAAAGAGTATAATAAAATTTAGGGAAAACTGTCAAATAAGTACATCTACTTTTACTAAAAAGTCAATTGAGTCCACATACTTTTTAATGAATCAATTAAGTCCATGAAGTATAAAAAAAATTAATCAAATCGTCCATTTGACCGGTAATCACTCGGTTTCCCGGTCAGATCGTCCAGCTGTTTTTTTATTTATTGTTTTCCAATTTTTTATATATTCTTTTCCTTTTTATTTCTTTTTTTATTCTTTTTCTCTTCTTTCTAGTTTCTCCTCCACTCCCTTCCCAGCCTTTCTCCGCTTCCATTCCCTGCTTTCTTGTTTCACGCCCCACCTCCACTTGCGGTCTCATTCTACCACTTTCTCCATGTCAGCCGCCCCACCTCCAAACCACCGCCGTGACCTCCACCGCCCTGTCCTCTATCACCACCACCACGTATCGCCTGCGGCCTCCACCTACGCTCCTTCTATTGAAGCGACCTCCAACCACCTTCGCTTCCACCTTCGCCTCGCCCACCTCTGCGGCTTCACCTTCGTCTTCTCCATTGGAGCGACCTGCAACAGCTGCCCCGACTTCCATGGCCACCACCTCCGCAGCCTCTCCTCCGCTGCCACTGCTACCTCCATAACCGCCACTGCTACCTCCATAACCGCCACCGCCACCGCCCCAGCCTCCATAAACTGGTGGATCGGCATAGGGGAGCAGATTGAATGACTATTGTAAACAAAGCTCCACTCCTGCTAGAGTTATAGTAGACGCAGGGAACCGAGGAAAGAAAAACGAATTAAAAAAATTTATAAAAGTAGAAAATATTAATAAAAAAGCCAATTGGGCGATCTAACCGGAAAACCTAGGGATGACCGGTCAAATGGACGATTTGGTTAATTTTTGACAGTTTGTGGACTTTATTGATTCATTAAAAAGTATGTGGACTCAATTGACTTTTTAAGAAAAGTAGATGGACTTGTTTGACAGTTTTTCCTAAAATTTAAAAGAGTAGACTAAAAATAAAACTAGAGTATTGATATTTCAATCAAAATAATATTTCATTCGCTATTTGTATTTACACTCTTTTAACAAGAATCATTTCAATTAATCAAGACACAAATTGAGAAATTCAAGTATTCCAAATATCTTAACCAATGTTCCACATTACCTGGTTGCATGGGCGCCTAGAATATTTTCATTGGGTCGTGTATGAAATCACAGTTATATGACAAGATACGCGTATATGTTCACGAATACGTGTATCAGAAGTATTTGTATTTCTAAAAACAAGTCCAATACTTTCATTGAATTATGGATACAGACCCAATAATTACATAACACGTAGCAATGAGTATCAGTATCAGATGCGTATCACATACGAGGATACCGCATCAGGGTGAAGTATCGGTGCACCATGGGAAAGGTCTATTTCATCTTTTTTCCCTAAATAACTTTTAAAAGAGCGTATTCTATATGGAATTATGGATTGATTACTACTTTTTAAATTCTCCCCAGTAGACTAATCATTGATTTATACCCTAAATAACCCTAAGGGTAATAATTCATAATGAAATGTTTTAAATCATAATAAAATAGTAAAAAATAATTAAAATCGTAAAAAATATTAAAAAAATTGTAAAAAAGGAATAAAATATTTAAAAAACAAAAAGTTTTAACATTTTTTTTTTCATTTTTAAAATTAATAAAATATAGTTAAAATCCATAAAAAATATGGATACCTTTCCCATTGCGTCTCAGCACCACCACCTCCGTTCGGCGAAAATTCCGCCATTGTGTAAAATATTCCATTTTACTCAAAATGCCAAAAAATGGCAATATTACTCTTCATTGAATCTGCCATTATTATGGCATTACTAAAAAATGTTGCCAGATTATCTCCGGTGATGGGAGTTAGTGGTGGCAGAGGCGGCAGTGTTTTATTTTACGTTTTTTTAATTTTCAAATTTTAATTTAAATTTTTTATAAATTTTTATACATAAATAGTCCTATTTACGATTTTATTATTAATTAAAACATTTCAAAAGCTACAAGGGTATATTTGTCCAAATATACATAAATAGTCCTATTGGGGGAGTGTATAACATGTAGTCCTATTTGTGTGCTCATTGGCCATTTTTTTGTCCTATTTAAGTAATTTACTCATTTTACTTCAAATAAACTTTTGTTCGTTGTGGATAATAATTTAACTGAAGAGAGAATTAAAAATTGACATTGTAATGTAACATTACACACCAAACATCAAATTTTTAGGCTTTGGGAAACCTCTTTATAAACAACATACACCGTCTTAGTGAAGAAATTTGTTTCTTTTGAAGGTAAGAGTATGTTACGATGTCTTTGCTCATTACATTTGGTATTGCAATGTACAATTGACCACTAATGAAACTTAATTATATCTCGAGGTATAAATCAAATTTTTGTTATAACATCTAACCTTAATTTTTATTGATTTTCATTACACAGCTTGTGAGCACATGAAGTTACTTTCTTAGGAAATTGAATAAAGGTGTCATATGCAACCATGAGAATCTCAATATGTAAACTTTATCTTTCATAGCTTTTCGAGTTATGACTTATCATACTTCCTTCGGTCAGGTTATGACCAACCACATTCCATTGAATACAACTTTTGCGCGATTGAAATTTCTCAATACCATTATTGGGGCTCCGATTTTCAAATGGAAGACATGATTTGGCAATTCAGCCATTGAAGCGCTATTACGATAGTCGACAGTGTACATATCAATATGGACTTGAAGGTAATACCAGTGTGCGAAGGGATAATATTAATTGAACTCAGATATGTAACTCTTAAGCTATCGATCAATGGAAGCCTTTAGTTATATACTTATGTCATTAATAAACGTAGACACAAGCTTTTTTGACATGAGCGTAAACACAAGCTAGAATCCCTCTTTCTTATAGCTATATAAATATATATGTTGCTTCACTTAATATATCACAAAAATCGTAATATGGGCTTTCAACTATAACTATAAGAGGATATTACCCAAAATAAGACTAAAAAAGTTTGAAAATTCCAAAATAGGACTGCCATGTTTTTATTCCCAAAATAAGACTAATTACTGCCATGTTTTGGTAGTACCAGACTTCGAACATGACAATATTTTCCAATTCCTTGGCAATAATTACTCCTATTTTGAGAAATAAAAAAACACGTCTCTCCTATTTTGAAATTTTCAAATTGTTTTAGTCCTATTTCAAGAACTTTCCCTAACTACAAAGCTTTAGACATAAACAGTCTTGTGATTCCATTTATTGGAACAAAATTATGCAAAATTAATATTTATACTACCATTGTTCCTATACATTTCAACGTGTTGTTTTAACTCTAGTCACATGTTTTACTTTGACTATATTTTATTTATTAATGTATTAGACATTTTGTGAAAAGTATTGTTCAATTTGTGTCGATTTAAATTGGAGAAAATCTCTCTTTTTAAATTTTTTACTTATATCGAATATTAATAATCAAAATAGTGTGTTGGTAAATATGAAAATGGAAGTATTGTAATTAAAAAAGAATGGAGAAAGTATAAAAGAGAATGTTTTTTGAAATATATATAAGCATTATTTACTTCTTAATTATAATATTATATTTTATTAGTATTATTTCAATTCTTTAATTTGAAAATCTCAATTGGTATGTTTAAATGCTTCTTCTATTTTCAGCATGATTTGAAAGATAATCTTATTTGTAAATGTAAAATGTCAATTTTCAAAATAAATGAGAAAAATATATCAATGAGTTTTTAATCATTACCTCTTATGTTTTGAATACACTGACAATTTAATAGCATATTTTTCAATGGAAATTATTGTTTATATTGGGCATCTTATAAGGAAAACTAATCATTATACTCTCATTATTAAACAAATATAAAACTCACTTTATTTTTTGGAAAACTCAATTTATCCTTTTACGTATTTATTTAAATAAAGATAACTATCACCATTGCAACG